GCGTTCTCTGCTCCTCGGGACGTGTATGGGGGGCACGGCACAAGTGCTTGTGGGACGATCGTCAGGGAATAGCAGCAGCCTGCTAGGGCTGCGGGTATAACCCAAAACTGCATCACAAGGACAAAGACATGTTACCCAGCTAGACCTATTTTATTTTTGGTTTTTTTTTGACACAACATCAGCAGGAGATTTGCAGGCCAGGCTTTGCACCTTTGCTAGGAGCTGCCAGTAAGGCCTCAGCAGGTGGCAGCTTCCCTGGAGCACGGGCAGCCGCCCGCGTCGCTGTCCTTTGCCCCCCGACGGCCACAGTCACCGACAGGTTCCCATTTGCCTCCTCGAAATAACTAGTAGGGAGCGTAGAACAATTTAAGAGGCGGGTTTAAGGATGTGGTGTGTTTGATCCAATGTTTAATCATAACCAGCCTGTATCTGGTAGACTGAACCTGTTTATGAAATCTTACCTGATTTTTCTGTTTTACAGTTTTAAGCTCAGACGGCTAATTGGCGTGTGAAGTGTACGTAGCGACCGTCCCGCTTCTGTAAGTTTAGTTAGCCTGATTAGGATGTTTTGAGCGTTTGGACAGAGAAATCTTACCCACCTGTTTGAATTGTTGGCTCATACTATAAATAACACAGTTTCATGGCCCTTTGAGCAGAAGAGAACTCCACAAGTCTCTCCCCGTTCGCGGTGCCCGCAGCCCCCGGCGCTGCTGGATGTGTCGCGGAGCAGCTGCTCCTCCGCGCCTGTACCACAAGAGGGCGCTCACCTAAAGCGATAAACGCGCATTGTGCGGGAATTTCTCTTTTTTCCCCATCTTTTTCTTCCGCTCCAGTGTTCCGACAAAGTGCTCAAATACATATGAGCAGATGAATAAGTTTGCTCTGTTGGTTAGAAAGATAGTGGCAAAAGTTTTAGCATGAGGAAAATGACCCATCTTATTTACATGATGTAATTCTTAGTAATTTTAATCCAGGTGGCTAATTGAAAAGTATTAGCTATTTGGAATTTAAATGAATGGTTTGTTAATTACTGTGACTGTAGTGTATATTTTTTTAATTATGAGTTCTCGTGATGTTTGAACTCTGCACTAGTGAAGAGTGAGGCAATGTAAAGGCTTTGTTAGATCAAGACGTGTGAGCAAGTTGCAGAATTCTTATTGAAGCAGAAGATGAAAACTATCAGTTAATTGCATTTAAAAATACAGTAGTATGTGTAGATGAACGCATAAACCATCAAAAAAAAAGGTTTTTTAAACTTTTTTTTTTTTTTTTTTTTTTTTTTAGGCTTTTTTTTTTTTTTTTTTTTTTTTTTTTTTTTTTTTTTGCTGTGAGGCTGGCGAGACACTGGAACAGAGCTCTCACAGAAGTTGTAAATGCCCCATCTCTGCAAGTGTATAAGGCAGGTTCAGTTGAGGTCTGGGCATCTTGGTTTAGTGGAAGGTAGCTTTGTCCATAGCACGGGAGTTGCAAATATCTTTAAGGTCTTTAAGGAAAATCATTATGTTTCCTTCCAACCCAGGCCTTTCTATGAAATAACTAACGAGTTTTTATTTTTCAAAAGCATTAACTCTCAATCTTTCAGAAGCTAGTGAATTGACTGTTCAATGGAACATTATTGAAACAGATACTACTCACTCGTAGCTAAAGGGAGGTGCAGTATATTAACAGTATGCTGGGGAAAATGTCAGACTTCTCCCTTTTAGTTTGATCTTTTTGTTTGCTTCACACAGAAATTAATATCTGTTTAATTTTCTGTATGGAAAATTACATTCAGTTGCTGTAACCTTCGTATTTGTGTTTACTAGGCAACAAATGGCTATTCATCTGGAATCACAGCCGACTGAGTTCACTTTTAATAGAAAGGAGCAGGAACAGAAATGCAAGTGTGAACAGATTTTATCAAATATTGCAGATATTAATAGTTACACAGGTAAATGACACTCAGCCTAACTCCAAAGTCCGCTGACAGGCAACCATAGGTAAAACAAACACAAGTCCAGCATTTCAGTAAGGTTATATTTTGTCAGTAAATAAGAAAAGTGATTTTTTTCCCTGTAATCCAGATTATGCACATGTTAAATTCTTATACCATGCTCTTAACTATGAGAATAATCAATAATAAATATAAGCAATTACTATTTTTAGCTGAGAACTGATTTGCTCCCAGTATAACCTATAATATCAATTCTATGCAATTATTTAATGCATGTGTCTTTCTCCCATATTTTACCAAAACTTGAGGAAAACCTCTCTTCAGCAGACAGGACTGGGAGAATGCATGCAGGCTGAAATCTGATGCACGGGTTATAGTTGTATATGTTATATCGTTGTGTATGTTGGGGTTATAGTTGTATTTGCTTTCTTCAGTTAATAACGCATGGATAGTGGGGGAACGTGGAAATAATGGCAGTATATTCATACTGTTTTCTCTTATGCTGCTTTTAGGCTTCGTTTTGGAAGTTATCGTGATGATGGTATAGAACAATGTTGTGCAAAGTTTGGGGAGGGAGAGCAGCTGGCTATGGCAAGTAGTGGCCAGGAGGCAACCACTTCCAGTTCACAACACAACCAGTTCCAGGTGTAGAACTAAGTGTCTGGGATGTTTTTGTTAAATGTCCGGCGCCGAGAGCCGCTGACCGGTCCCTG